AGTTAGGGATTGCCTCGTGATGCAGTTTGGTGATTTCTTCAATGTATGACCGATCCACTTCTAACGTCTTTTCCTAATTTCCTTTTCAGATGGAAGCTGGTTTGTCCTCTCCCATAAAACGCTGTTGCTGATAGCATCCGGCCAGTGAATGTTGAGTATCTTGCGTAAACAACTGTTTATAAATACTTGTACCATCTTGACGATGGATGTGGTAGTTCTTGAAGTTTCACTCCCGTACAGTAGAACTAGCTGTTTTGACGTTCGTATTGAAGATTCTCACTTTGAAATTAGCTGACAGTTGTTTTGATTTATATATGTTCTTCGATTGTAGGAATGCGATCCTTACTTTGCCAATCCTCGGCCTTTATATCTGCATCAACTCCTCCTCGTTCATCAGTGATGCTTCCCAGGTATGTGAATGTTTCCACATCTTCCAGAATTTCTCCATCAAGTATGATTTAGTCGATGTTCTCCGTGTATTTGAGGATGTTTCTTCTCTTGTTTATATTGAGGCCTACTGATGTAGAGGCTTCTGCCACCCTGTTGACAACTTTTCCCGGTACCGATAATAGTGTGATGTCTCTGTATTTGTTCATATGCACGCGGAACAAGTGATAGGTCATTTGCAAGGTCCAAATCGTCTAGTTGCGTGCGACCTGTACATTGTATTCCGTTCCTCCCTTGTCAGATGTGAAGGTCTTCACAATCCGATCGACCACCAGAAGAAAGGGAAAGGGTGCGAGTGAACAGCGTTTTCTGATATAAATCTTCACTCGTAATGTATCTGTCAGCTTTCCTCTATATACGACTTTTCAGTATAGTCAGTTGTACGAATTCCGTATGACTATAACAATCTTTTCAGGTACATCGCATTGTTGACGAAGATGCCATAATGTTCTGTTATTCACTCTGTTAAATGATTCAAGACATAATACTTAATTAATTATTTGTTCAACATTTCCACAGTTGATAAATTTCTCAGTGATTTGAATGAACTGGCGAGTTCCGCTGCTTAATATTTAACCATCAACCACTTGATATTTAAGAATAACATAGTTAATATTGATCTATATAGATTGTAGATTAGGCTATTAACTTTTAAATGAATTAAGTTTGATGCTTTTCATGTATCCATTCAGCAATTAATATCTCATAAGATTTTACAGTTATTAAAGAAACTACAATTAAGTTCTCTTTTTTTTTTAAAAAAAATATTTTTAAACTACTTGGTTAAAAGTGTAAACGATGATCAATAAAACTAATAATAATAATGGTAATTTCAAACCTGCTCATGTGAACTGTTTACTCTTAGAAACAATCATTCAATAATATGCACGAGAATATTCTCAAAAATATTGATCTAATTGTTTAGTTTAAACATGAAAAGAAAAAAAAAGTAGTTATATATATATATATATATATATATATATATATATATATATATATATATATATATAATACTAACTACCATTTATATTTCACCTTATTAGTTTTCATATTCATGTGATAAACTACTGAAACAAAAGGATACTCTTTCTCTCTCCTCTACAGTAGTCAGATTCACCTACCACATTTTAACTATTCTAAATCTACTTTAAATTGGACAATAAAAAGTCTATGAATAACAGTTTATTTATGTACTACTATATTTGGTCAATTTAATTGGTTTTAGAAAGTTTATACAAATTAGGTCAGAATTAGATATGACAAATCTAGTTATTTGATGAGGTTGCATATGTGAAAAAGTAAGAAAATTTATGATAAGAGTATGAAAAGTAAACTGTTTATTTGTTCAAAAACTAAAACCTAGGCTTAACTTCTATTTTTGGTTGTTTGTACAATAGTAATCTATAAGAATTTTATTATTATTTGGGTGCACAAGCAAGTGGCTATCAGGACTCAGTAGCCGAGTGGATAACGCGATGGCGTTTGAAGCGAAAGGTACTGGGTTCGAGTCCCAGAGTGAACATCAACTCTGAGATCCAGATACATCCAGCTGACGAGTCCCAAATGGGACGAAACGCGCATCCTGGATTCCACTGCTAGCCACTATCCATCTTTGCTTACAATGCTTGTGAATTAAAGCTATATCGAGGCAATACGCACTGTACGCACATATGCCAATGCAAGACTGACCAGTTGCAGTCCTAAATATCGATGGGAAGATTCAAACAAACAATACTAAGTGAGTTTAAGTGGATTATTCGTTTGTTAAATATAATTTTAGTAATAACTGAAGTAAACGTGAAAAAAAGAGTTGAGCAATGAGAGTTTTAAAACATTTGTTTACTGAGAATAAAAAGAATACTGAGGAGTTATTTGGTTATGATGCAAAACTTTGTAGCTATGTGCACTATTGTTGAGCCCCATCTGTAGCTCTTCTAGGATAACTGTCGGTTCCAAGCCCAAACAAAGGAGAATGTTTGGGAGAACGGTTAGTACCCTCATCCTGTAGAAAACAAAAATTCTAAAAACACTAACCAGAATAAACAATTGAAACCATTTCAACTCTATACTCCGAGTTGAAGCATCTTCATTCAGAAGAATTATAACGCCTCGTGATGAAACCCAAGATTCTTCGAAAATCACGAGACCGATGCTCATTCTAACAACCAGATCAACAATTAGTATGGGTAAATGGAATGTTCGCACAATATGAAAAACCAGGAGGATCAATCAAATAGCTACGGAAATGATGAGATACAACTTCATGGTGTTCGGAATCAGTGAAACTAATTGAGGCCAAACTATACAGGAAAACATAGATTGGAGAGAGATTCTGCTGTGCTCTGGTCCTGAAGAAGAAAATGCTCTACACAATCACCGAGTTGCACTACTACTGTCCGAAGAAGCACGTAATACGCTTATTGAGTGGGAATCTCATGAATCCACAATCATCAAAACATTCAAAACAAAAACGGAGGGCATTCCAGTGAATGTTATTCAATGTTATGCACCCACCAATGATAACAATGACGACGATAAAGATCAGTTCTATGAGAGGCTGCAATCAATCATAACGAAGTGCTCAGGAAACGACCTGACCGTCCTGACGAAAGACCTTAACACCAAATTCGGAATGGACAACACCAGATATGAAAGTATCATGGGGCGATATGAACTGGTTAGGAGAAATGAACGAGAATGGTGTGAGATTTGCAAATTTGTATGCAGTCAACAAAACGGTTATAGGTGGCACAATATTCCTACACAAACATACACAAAGCTACATAGATCTCACCGAATCACACCATGGAGATCGAGCTTTATCATATTTGCATCACAGAAAAATCCAGAATGTCAATGGCAGACGTGAGAACCAGGAGAAGAGCTGATTAAGCTCCAGATCACCATCTATCTGGTGGTTTTCAGGATGTAAGTGAAACTAAACAATCAATGGAAAACGGGGGAAACAGTATTATGAGGGTCCAATACAGCCTTGACTCGACATACTGACAAACTCAACGAATTCAAGATAGCTCTCAATAACTGATTCCAAGCCTTAGAGGATCTACAGGAAGAACAAGACGAAACTACTATGGAGAACAACTGGAAATGGATCAAAGAAAAACCAACTCTTATGTATCGGAAACTGCTCTTCCGTAAGTTGCATCATCATGTGTAATAGGTCTCTATGGAAACCGTGTTTTGGATTTAAGAAACGAAGAACAAGAATACAGCAATTAGTAGTAGTTAAACAAGAACAAAGAAATTGAAGGCAAATATTGAATACATTGAAGCAAACAAGCGATTGATGAGGAGCATTAGATCCAAAAAAACAGAGATACATGAAAGAACCATCAACGGCAGAGGAAGAGAAGGAAATGTCTGACAACTGTATGACACGATGAAGCTGGTTGGGAAATACAGTAAACCAGGGAGACCGGTCAAGGACAATCAAGGCAAGACACTTACTGTAATTCAAGAACAGAGGAACACATGGGTAGAACAATTCGAGGAACTCTTGAATAGACCGGCTCCACTGAATCCACCGGACATCGAAGCAACACACACAAACCTGCTTATAGATGTCACTCCACTAACGGTTGAGGAAACAAGGATGACCATCAGACCAATGAAGTGTGAGAAAGCAACAGAGCTTGACAATACACTATCTGAAGCTCTAAATTCAAACATAGAAGTAACTGCTTCACGTTCTATTCAGGAAGATTTGAGAGGAATAACAAGTGCTACCGACAGACCGGAAAGAAGGATATTTCATCAAGAAAGGAGATCTGAGAAAGTGTGTCAACTAACTACAGAGGGATCACACTATTATTGGTACCAGGAAACGTTTTCAATAGAGTGTTACTGAACCAGATGGAAGATTCAGTAGTCACTCTCTCCCTTTCCCTTTCTTTTGGTGGTTGACCGAACTATGAAGACCTCCACATCTGACGAGAAGCACAGAATACAATGTACATCTCAGAATAAATTAGACGATTTGGACTTCACAGATGACCTAGCGCTTCTATCACATACACACGAACAAATTCAGGTTAAGACAGCCAGTGTGAAGTGGCAGCAGCCTTTGCAGTAGTCTGCCTCAACATACACAGGGCAAGAAGTAACATCCTCAAATACAACATGGCGAACAACTTGAAAGTATTGTCCAGGACAGAATTGGATGGAGACTGTTGGTGGTTAGCCTATGCTCCTCCTCGAGGGTAACAAGCGTATGCAAGGAAGTAAGCAAGTGAATAAATGATCCGGGAAACAGATGATCTGTTTATGTAATTTGTAGGGAGACTGTGAGGAATAATCATAGTTAACAGTATAGGGTTGTGGATATTATTTAGTTTTAATTGAGTTCATAAACCGATCAATTTTAGACCGCCAACGAAAACCTGTTAGCACTGGACGGCCGCCTCGTTCTAGTATGGGACCCTTCTGCAGTGCACATCCACAATCTCGCGTGCAGGATATAGTATTTTTTCATCGTTTTCCTTAACACAGCAGTAAAATGAACAGATTGCAAAGAACTATGTATCGGTTGTTCTGGTATTATACATGTATATATTTGATTCAGCATGAACAAAATTTATAACATACTGAAAGCTGATTATAATGTTATTTATTTATAGATTACATAAAACAATATAGTTCATAATCTCAGATAATTTTGGTTTATCTATCCCTCCTCATTAATTATAATTTGATCAAAAAAATAAGCAGTAAGAAAATTTTTACAATCCATCATAGTTCTGTGAAATTTAGTAGTATGTGTAGAATAAAATGTAGAGTTTGTGGCTTTTGTTAAGTCCAAACTTCGAAGTATCATTCTGTTTCTTGCCATAAGTATTATTTATCATCATTGTGTACTAACGATAACGACCTCTTGGTATCTACATATGAAATGATAGCAGTTATTTCAGTTGTATTCATTATATTTGTGGTAAAATATAAACAAATTAAGAAGATAAATAAGTGTGAAGAGAGAAATAAAAAAATTTAAATCCAACTGTTTTGTCAGCACCATCTATTCATGAAGGACTTCTTATGTAGCCTTATCTGTAGACATGTAAGTTTTATCGAATTCTTTCTCATCGTTTGGATCATGTAGATAAGTTTGTGAATTGTCACTTTCGTTATCTTTAGATAGTCGATATGTATTCATTACTCCAAATCCAAAATAAAGTATCAAACCTTGTATAAATATGAAACAATGAGGAAAAAAATAAGTATAACTTCAGGATACATTATTTAAAATTATGCAATCTAAATGATGTATAAGAATGGACGTCGGTAATTGACTTCTGTTTACTGAAGATGAATTTCCATTTCACTGAAGAATTTCGAAATTTTAGGGCCCACTAAGTTTGATCAAAAGAAAATGTGTCAATTACGTTCTTCATGTATGTTTTCTATTTTTAAACACTTAATTAACCTGGATTACACAAAAAGTTTAATTACACTAATAACTGTTAATTATTATTTTGTGAGTCGACTTATGGCAGCTCACATGCAATTGAGTTTGTTTACATCTAATTTTGCTAAGCCCTTTTGTTAACTTATTTAACGGACAGTCATTCGTACAACAACAACCTATCTATACTATTGTACCTTTATTATGTACGCTTGAGCATTGCTTACTGCCTACGCATGTATTCATTCTGCTAGCCTTGCTATTAATCGCTTAATTGATTCGATGATTCATGCTTTTCCATTTGTATATATATGTACATCTTAATCCTGTTCACTGTACTGTACTCGCTCATTCGACTCTCTCACTCGCCTGCTTTACGGCGCTACTCTTTCATGCTTGCTTGTAATTTTTGGATATCTGTGTGTGGTTAAATAATAAACGCAATAAACCCTTCGTATTCGCCTTCTGATTTATACACCGTTGGAAGGTTGACGAGTAACGATGATCAGGACGAACAATATACGACGGTTAGGGATAATATCGAATATTGACCACCACAGACTGATATAAATTTAGAATATGCTGATAGAAGTAATGATCTGTAAAAAAATTTAGCCGGAAGAATATTAGTTAGTTATGTTAGATAAAGATTTCAACATGACTAAAATAAATTGGAAACGATTCTCACCATTGGCAACTCGAAGATAATATACTGAATGTATCGTCAGGATTTCATTTAAATCACAACGCATTTACATAATGTTTCAGAGTCAAAGGGCGAAACAAGAAAGTTGTCTATTATCTCTTAATTCTTTGTGATCTTGAAATTAATCTTGGAAGTCATCACCTAAATGGATGGAAATAGTGGGCTTACAGCGAAACGGTGAAAATCACTTATTATTGATTCTCAAGGCTCATAAAATTGCTCGAAGGAAGTTGAAATTGTAATTTATATTAGACTGATGCAATTTTGTAAAAAAATGTAATAATTATCTAATTCGCCTCAATGTACTAATCGTATCGAAAATCACTTTCTCAGTGTACTTTAAATAAGCATTTTACAGTGAATTCACGTCTAATATTAGTTTGATTTTACTATAATAAGCATAGCGCTTTGAAATGAACATATTTATTTGATGTTCAGACAATGCTAATTGGTTACGTATGGGATATCTTTACTATAATAGTCGAATTTTAGCATTATGTTGTAGTAATATTGGTTAGCATCTGATGACTTATCGTTATCTACAGTAGGTAGCTATATTCGCTAGGCATTTTAAAAAAATACTAGGTAATTTTGTTCGTTATTAGGGTGAATCTTCTAAGAATGGAGTATTCTATGACTAGGTTTTAACCACTTTCTAAGAGTTTACGGGTTTTCAAACCCCCGCTTATATTTATATAACAATACACAAAGTACTTACCGATTACTATCCAAATAGTAAATCTTATCCAGGTAACCCATGAAAGTTCACTTATCAAAAATACGTTTATAGTTAACGTTGCACATGGGATAAACGGAACGTAAGGAAGCTGAAAATAAAATATTAACGTATATTAAATCTGATAGAACAGATGGTTTAAAAAAATTTTCTCGGGTATACTAAGATAATACTTCATACGATAATGAGACTAGTCATGTTATATCAGATCCAAGATTCACGACCCGGAATAGAGAACCAGATTAGCACCAGATAATACTTTATTCAACACAGTTACAAGCAGTCACACTCAGTGAGTCCGGAGTAGGAATCAGTGAGAGGAAAGGAAATCAAATATTTAATAATCAGTAGGTTAAGTGCGTGTTTGTCTACGCTCAGCGACTAATCATATTTTAATTTCACTACCACACCATGAGATGACATCTCAGTGATTTACAGGTTAAGTCATCGCAGCGAGACCTGTGTCTGATTCCCTGTGGTGGGGTCCAGAATGCCCACTGCTGAGTAGTCCCATATCACGATGAAACAGATGTCTTATTCTCCCTAGTTTTAAATGGTGAGGTAAGTTCGTGACGTAAACTATAAAAATAATCGAAGCATTCAATAAGAAATCTTCCATAATTTTGATTTTGATTATTTCTCTGTAAAAGCGCGGATCCGACTGGTTAGCTAAACGTTAGAGTTATTAAATTTCAGATGATAAAATCATTACCGATATAACTTTATTTCAAATACCCCCCTGTTAAATAATCCTTTATCAACAGATAATCTATGAATGAAATTGCCAATCGATCTGTCTGCTCTCTTGACTACTGAAGGATTCGACGCTTATAGAACGTTTGCTAATTATGAAAAAGTGTCGCTTAATATCGGGTAATAAGTTATTTAAACTATAAGTTTCAGTTATCAAAAGTATCCTCATGTAAATAGGTTCATTGAGCAAGGAGATAAATGATTGAATACTCTTAAAATAACCATTAAAAGTTGTCCAGAAAACATTGAATTAACGTCATAAATCTTATTAGTGTGTATAAAATTTAGGTCCAATAACATCTACTAACCATATCTTTTGAATGTATAAAACTGAACATAACAACTTATGAAGTCAGGTTCTTTATATGGTTGACAACGTTATTTAATATGAACTACAAGTTTTACTAAAAGTGGAAATGATGACTAATGTTTTCACTTCTTATTTAATTCAAACAATTCAGCTTTGATACCTTTATAAGATTACCTCGAATGAGGTGTAAAGGTTCCCAACAGTTTTTAAACAGACAATAATGATCAAGGTTTATAAAGGTACAAACTAAATTTTCTTCAAGCCTCGAGAATAAAACATTTTTTTCACTTTTTTGTTAAAATCAGTTGATCAAAGACTTCATCTGACTCATTCCAGAATTTGACACAAAATGTTATCAGTATGAAGTTGTGGAGATTATTGAGTTATTGAGATCATGAGTTGATCAATGTTATTCTGCAACATAGTGCTACCTATGTAAGTGATCAAACTGAGTTTCTTGTTTGTTAGGCTTTGATCAGAGCTTTAAACATAAAATCGCTTACCAAGTGAACAGCTTGTAAATACTTTTAAATTTATGTGAAATCAAGTCATAGGACAAACTAAGTTGTCATTTTTGCATAGTGAGTGTCTTTTTTCATCCTAACAATTTAATGTGCTGACATTATTCTTACTTAAGATAAGGGATTTAACGGTTATGTTTTGATAACTACTGTGCTCAAAGGTCTATCAATTTAGATCGTCTACATTGAAGTCTCTTCTCTGTTACACTGAGGTTATGTCAATATCAAATTTCAAAACCTAGAAAAACTTACCTGAAACAAACCTTTGTAAGGTGGTCCAAATTGTTTAAAAATGCTCATCAATATTATACAAGATATCAATAATGCTAAAATGAGCACTACACAAACAATTCTCCATACTGGCCACAATTCATGTTTCGCTCCTATTGTCAAACACATAATTAAAACACCATTTAATATAATATAAGTAGCCATGATCATAACAACTGTATCACCAGGTGAACCTGAATTGAAAATCTTCAATATGCAATTAGGGATACAATGAGCATATGGAGATTTTACAAATCCTGGTTTATCAATACGTTTTCGGTAATGTTCCACTTGTTTAATAGGCTTCAAAAAATTAATAATTCAACAAAAATTTAATGTTTTCAAAACGAAATACTCTTTTAAGATGAATAAACTAATTCATTCGAAAGGGTCATTTATAATAATAAAAAAGCTATTACAGTATGTTAGATTTCATGAGAAAATCAAAGAATTATTAATAGTTGTTCGTTTGCAATTATTAATACTGTTGTGTATACTACTTATATTGACGTCAGAAGTGAAAGGGCTGGCATCAGGTCGCCAATATTGAATCGAAGAGAACGGGAATAGAGAGCAATTGTTGTGGCAATGAAGAGACGATGTAATTTGAGACAGTTGATGGAGGATTTGTAAATGAAGTATTGAATATGTGGTTTTCATACTTGACCAAAGAACTTAGTAATTTCGTAATAAAATATACTGGTTGTCCCTACCTGTGTTCTCGTTCATTACAATACGATTCAGGAAAGATGTTTATTTCTTCATGACATTCATTAGTTGTAATAAATAATAATCACTACAGTAAGTCGACAGGCTCTGGCTAATGAAATTGGTATATATTTTACCAAGAAAATCAACAAGGACAATTTACATAACCACAATTAAAATAATATTATTGTAAATTGTTCTGCTGTATTAAGTCATTTTCATAGTCAGTTCATATATACTAATATAGATAGATCTATTTGCTTCAGTGATTAGATAGCAACAAGTACCAACGTGTACTAATATATGGTCAATACAATATTTTCGAATAATCTGCGAAATCCAAATATATTTGACATTTTTTAGATAAATATATACTGACAGGAAATTACTAACAGATAAAGTGATGTACGAATCTCTGCCTGTATCTAGTCAACATGAGAATACAACCTATGATATTGTTCTCTTGTCCTTGGAATAAGCCGTATGAATAAACGATTCCGAAGGACGTTGATCTTTAATTCCACTTTTTATCAATCAAAAATAGGAAAATCAACCTAGAAAGCAGAGTTTATATTTTTGTCCTATATGACATGTTTATAACTTATCTCTACACTAGTAAGACTTCAATTTTAATAGATTATTAACAGACAAAAAAAATAATTGATTACCTTATCCTTTTCAATGCTGTCTGATTCGATTTGATTAGTTTCAGTTAACATTTGTGGACTATCAGATTGTTTTTTGTAGCGTATACATATGATAGCTATTGCAGTAATGGAATAAGCGATTAACGTCCCTAAACTCATAAAATCAGCTAAACTATCCACACTGAAAATCAATGTTAGTAAGGCTGTTATAATTGTGACGAATGTTGTTGAAATGGCAGGTGTCTAAAATGAAAATATAAGATGAAAAGTGTAATATCTTAATAGTATTTCGTCAATATATTTTTGAGTAAGTTAATCTTCACAGTCAGTCATATTTCTATATGGCATTTTCCAAAAATGTGATTAACTTGTCAGATTGGTTTATTGGTTTTTAATTTTTTTTTATTTTGAGCAAGTATTCCTGAAACTAGATTAAAAGTTTTGGTTCAACAGAATGTAAAATCACCCAAAATGGTTACCTAAATATCATCATGAATACAATCTCAAATATTAACTTATTCTCATCTGATTCTTATTTACAGCAAACTATAGTCCATCGGAAATATCAAGAATCAGATAACTGGAAAAAAGCGGAAATGTGGACCTTATAACAAGATTAGGAACTATATTTAAAACACTCTACTCACCTTCTAAATGTTATGTATGATTTCGAACAATTGGTCTTGATATTTCTTTTACTTTTTACAGAAGCTCTTATAGGAATGCCTAACCAACAAAATTAAGTGTTCACTAGTAGCAAATTTTGCGTTTTCAACAGAAAATTCTACAATAGGTCGAAAGGTATTTAACTTCTGTCATATACTAAGGTTCATAAATGTGGGGAGAAGTTTCACAATCAACTCACACTGGTTCATTTAATCCGTTTAACAAAGAAATAACACCATTCTTCTTACGATTTAACTTGTTACTCAAAAGAACTGCTTATACTGTTACTTCAATGTGTAGATCAATAAAAGTCTGTACATGAAAAGTGTGATTTAAAATTGGTTGTCTATCAGTAAGGTCATAAATATTTTTCCAAAAACATTTGGCGACAAGCTGACTCAAAAGATTATCAAGTCAAGATATAGCTCAGTAAGTTCATGAATCAGCTTGTTACATTAAATGACTTGTAACATTACACTATAGTTATCTATTCATAACTGTTTCGTTTATCATCAGAATGAATTGATTTAGAACTTATCTGATCATATGGTAAATGATCAATGGCTAATCACTAACATATTGATTAGGAAGAATTGATTGAGTACTTCGTATAATAAATGTTTAAGGCTTATTCCAATTTGAAGTTATCGTCGATATTGTTGTCCAGATCTACTGCTAAACTTCCCAGATGAATTATATAGATGACTGAAGGGATATACTGATGGGGAGTTCTGCAGTTGGCCTCAGTTTGTAACAGAATGCATCTTTAAGTTACTTCGGTATCAATAAAAAATTGCATATTTTTAGTAGTTCTAATAAAAAAATTTTTTTCGGATATTTCAAAACTCGTAGTTATCTGGAGTCGAATTCGGCGATTTTATATGCATGACATTCATTTTGACATGGCCGATGAAATATCATACACAAGGAATTTTATTCTTTTCAGCGATTACCAAGGACTATTATAACTCATGTTATTTTACTTCAGAACTGAACTTCGAGTTCAGTATTGATCTTTTTCCTGATTACGGCCATAATGCTCTAATTATTGAGTTCGAGAACTATCTGTTAATAAATTTTTAATTATTTCCCAGTCATCTATGCAAATTGCGGTGGGTATAAATATATGAAAGATTCATAAAACATCTAGTGCCGGAAATAAAATTGGAAATTTGTCAACTATCTCTTAGTTAACAAAATACTGAATCAATAATCTAGAGGTCATCATCTCTACTTTCGTGTACATTGAAACTTTCCCTCAACTGCAATCTATATCTCCCTAAATAGAAATAATCAAACTAAAATTTTGTAAGCTTGTTATTCTGAAGGACTGACACCAGCTCAGGAACTGGTAAGACAATATGAATAAATTTTAGTTATAATTCTTTGGGAGGATAGTATTTTAATTTTCAATGAATATTTATCCGGCATTTAGTTAATGACTTACTTAGTTATACCTGTTGCTCCTCGTGCACGAGCATAGGTCGAACACTTGTATTCTCCATCCAACTCTGTCCTGTGCAATCCTTTCCTGTTTTTGTTCATCTTTTTCATGTCTCTTTCATATTCCCGATGCAGTGTGTTCTTTTAACTTCCTCTTTTCCGTTTCCCTTCAGGATTTCAAGTTAGTACTTGCCTAGTGATGCAGTTTGATGATTTCCATAATGTATGTCCTATCCACATCCAACTTCTTTTCTTAATTCCCGCGTCACACGGAAGCTGCTTTTTCTCCCCAACAGTAGGCTGCTGCTGATGGTATCCGGTCAACGGACATTGGGTATCATATGTAGACAATTGCTTATAAATACTTGTACCTTTTTGATGATGGTTGTAGTAGATGTCCTGGTTTCAGCTCCACATAGTAGAACTAATCGTCTAGACGTTCGTATTGAAGATTGTGACTAGTGTTGGCTGACAGACAGCTGTTTGGAGTTTCATATGTTGTTCAACTGTAGGGATGCTTTCCTTACTTTGCCAATCCTTGTCTTTACGTGTGCATCACATCTTCCTTGTAGATTGATGATGCTGTTGACCAGGTAGGTGAAAGTTTCCACCTGTTCCAGAGTTTCTCCATCAAGCATGATTGGGCTGGTGTTCTCCATGTTGCATTTGAGGATGTTGCTTCTTGTCTTGTGTGTGTTGATGCCTAATGCTGCAGAGACTGCTGTTAAACTGCTTGTCTTGGCCTGCATTCGTTCGTGTTTCTTTCATCCGATTCAGCAACACTCTGTTGAAAACGTTTCCTGGTACCGATAGCGGTGTGATGTCTGTGTACTTAGTTGTCACACTTGCTCAGATCTCCTTTCTTTGGTACCTTGATGAGGTATTGTTCTTTCCAGTCTGTCGGTGGCACTTTTTCTTCATCCCAAATCTTCCTGAATAGAACGTGGGACATGTTTACAGTTGCTTCTGTGTGTGACTTCGGTGATTCAACTGGTATATTGTCAGGTCCTGCTGCTTTCCCACTCTTGATTTGTCTAATGACTTGACATCCAGATTTTTTTGATTGTTGATAAAAAGTCATTGATACATAGATCTATGTGTGTTGCTTCGATGTGCAGTGGATTCAGTGGAGCTGATGTATTCAGTAGTTCCTCGAAATGTTCTACCCATGTGTTCCTCTGTTCTTGGATCTCCCTGATTGTCTTTCCTTCTTTGTCCATGAAAGATCTCTCTGATTTACCATATTTCCCTGTGAGTTTCTCCATTGTATCATATAATTGTTTCATATTTTTTTCTCTAGAAGCTTTTTCCTCTGCCGTCGCTGGTTCTTTCATGTATTTCTGTTTGTCGGCTCTAATATTCCTCTTCAATCGCTTGTTTGCTTCAGTGTATTCAATTTTTGCCTTCAATTCCTCTGTTCTTGTTTAACTGTTGTTTTTATTTATTCCTGTTCTTCGTTTCTCGTTCATTTCTACTAATCAGTTCATATCGTCCCATGATATTTTCATATCTGGTGTTGTCCATTCAGAATTTGGTGTTTAGGTCTTTCGTCGGGATGGTCAGGTTTTTCTTGGGCACTTCGTTATAATCGACTTCAGTCGATCCTAATTTCTTCTAGTTTCTCATATTGTCCGAACATTTCATGTACCCATACTAATTAGTGATCTGGTTGTTAGAAGGATTTCCGAAGAATCTTGAGGTGTCATAATTCTTCTGAGTGAAGATGCTTCAGCTTGGAGTATGGAGTCCAAATGGTTTAAATTGTTTATTCTGTTTAGTGTTTTCTTAGAAATGTTGTTTTCTACGGTATGATGATGCTGAGCTCTTTTGCATCACCCTCAGTCTACTCGGTTTTGGGTTCGGCAGTTATCCTAGTAGAGCTACAGGTGGAGTTGTTCAGTTTGTGCGATTCCTATTTATTCTAGATTTTTGAATTTCATTTGTCACAGTAGGCGTTATTATACGTCCTGAAATCGCCATAAATTAATCATTGACCCGTTTTATTCTAATTTGTACTGTAAATATTCTAGTTACTTAAATGTTGAAATTTACAATTTATGATGCATTGAGATCCTGTATTTTATATATATAATCATCTGAGTTTTTGAGTCAACATATTTAACAGTATATCAGATGTCTTTGAGATCTGAGGACTGGAATTCTATTATGGTCAATAAGCGTCAGCCCATCAGGTCAACGAGTGTGAAGATTTATACTATTGATTCGAGTATGGAAGAGTAAGGTCGCATTTGGCATGACTGAAAACTGATATACCTCAAACTGCTCTTCCACACTAGTTTTGGACACCCTGAGAGAAAGAACTATCTTTTGTTCTACTGGTTTTCGACGGTTTACCGGCATTTCAATGAAGCAAATTATAGTCAAATATATACCATGAATAATAAACTTACCTTAAAAGGTTGACAAAGATGAGAACAAATAGTAGGAATGAGACCATCTTGAGCCATAGCATAACTAATTCTTGGTGCAGCAACTAATGATGTAATTAAACATGCAATTAATCCAATTAATGATCCAACACCAACAAAATAAAACATTCCAGTTCGTACATTTTCTGGTCCACCATTTAGTGTATTACCTTTTAATGCACTTAAAAATGAACTTTCGGTACTAATAAGAAACCAAGGGTAATACAAAGTTAATGCTAATGAAGATAATGTGGTCAAAATCGCTACAGTTATAACGGCTATAATATTCGCTCTAGGTAAACTATAACTAGGATTTTTGGCTTCTTCTGCACATGTTGATATTGCATCAAATCCAATGAATACATTAAAACAAATTGCTGTACCACCTATTAAACCTGGTATTCCAAATGGTAAAAAGTTTGGATTTGGCGAAAATTTATCTACTGTAATATTGGGTGAAGTGATATACAAATATTCTGTTTTGCTGTATACAAACATATAGATTGATGTTACTGTTAATACACCAACATTTACAAAAATTGAAACTGCTGTCACTTTTGCACTGCCACGAACTCCACAACAAGATATAGCTGACAATAAAATAATCAGCAATACACCGACAAAGTCATAATATTCAGCTAATACACCACCTGGATGAGATAATCTGTAAAACAAAGTAATTAACCAAATAGCATTAGAGATTAGTTACCTTAATACATATTTATAAATAGCTTATCAAATTTGAAGGTATTTTTAGTTTTAGATTCAGCTATAAAAGTCGACTGATAGTTTCCACATTGGTTTGGACCCTTAGAAAGATATTTATAGGGTCAATCAAAAATAATGAGACATTGTTTAACGGTTAAAGAACCTGAATTTTAATTAATTAGTTGTAGACTTAAACTTTTTCTGGGCTAGGGAGGAATAACTTTCGCTTTGTGGAAAAATGTAATGTCCTACACAGATTGTTTGAAGGCTCTCTGAGGTCACTGTTTGTATGTAAATTCTTAAGTCCATGAACATAATGCTCGTATTAGCATAGACGTTATTTAGTCTCATATAATTGGGATAGAAAGTATATTGAATACATATCACATTTGCCACATGAATCAACGTCTGATTTACATGTATGATTTGAGGATTGTATCTGCTACAGCTATCTAAAGCAGATTTAAAAATACAAACACGCAACTGTTAAAACCATCGTAACTTATGTAATTTCGGGAAATACTCTTTGTAGATCAAGAAGAACATGTACACAGTTGTTCATCAGTAAACTTTACGTATATCCAAATAGATATATTATCTTTTGTTTCTAAAGTTACAACTAATACACAATTACAAAAACGCTCCATATAAAATCGCTTCGTTTTGACAGTCTACCTAACTAGGTAACAATATTGTACTAAAACAGTTATCGAATTTAGGTAAGAACCATGCTAAACAATTTAGTGAAATAAACATAAAAGAAGACATTTTACTACGGCTACGGGACAATGACACCTTAATCCTAATAAAATAGCAAGATTTTTTAAACTGGGTATTGGGACTTCCGTCAAAGGACATAACAGTTTAGAAACCTTAAGGTAAAAGTAATAAAACTAACCACAATCGAAGAAATATTAACATATGTTTAGACTCAGGTAATATCGAAGTCTATAATCTGGCTGAAATTACATAGCAGAGTGAAAACGATCGGGTTTATACTTCATTCACTTTTTGGTTTGTCAAAATTCAAGTAGTATTATCTCAAAGTACTACGGAGCTATTATTTCTTGAGTGATTCTTTATCTTTCTGATTGCAAAGGTTATTTGAGTATGTCTGATGAAACTATATATTCTTTAGGTGTGTGTTCTTTAGTAACGATTATTCCAATAGCTAGCATAGGGTCTTGGAGACTGTTGAGTTTTAATTGAGATCATGAACCGATCAATTTTAAGCCACCATTGAAAACCTGGAAGCACTGGACAGCCGTTTTGTTGAAGTTAGACATCAAAACCGTTGATGCCGGTTCAGTGGTCTAGAGGCTATGTGTTCGCGCACGTGACCGAAGGTCCTAGGTTCGAGTCTCTTGAATACTCACTGCTGAAGAGTCCAATACTTTGACTAATCAGTCGTTCATTACTTCTAAGTTTTCAATGGGGGTCTAAAATTAACTGGTTCATGATCTCAATTATTTCACTTACTGAAAGGGCATTTTTTATAAGATTATTTTAATAGATATGGAGTGAAAGTAGGGGTAATTGCATCGTATACGACGGAGCTGTTTGTTAGATGCACATTATATGTTCAGTAAAGTTTCGGCAACGAGATCTACAAAACGATATATATAATGTAGTTTTCGATTCCTGGTAATCCTGTTGTGCTGAGGAGTTGTGTAAGACAAATGTTTAATGCTCCTTGTTTTTTAATGCTTGCCTGGCCAGAATTAGTCTGAGATGCATATGTACCAGAGAATTGATGTTACAATTATAATAAACAATTAAGGAAATTTTTTAAACAAATTAGATGAAGATTATACCTACCTACCAACATTGTGTATTGTCCATTTACTTATATTATTGTCTGCAAGAGTGTCAAGCATACTACTCCAACATCTTGCAACAAGTGATATGCCTAGTATATACTCAAGTAATATTGCCCATCCAGTTATAAAAGCAGGAAATTCACCCATGATAAAATATGTGTACGTATATGAAGAACCAGCCTAAATGAGATGAAGAAAGTAAAAATGTGACAAAACGTTCTCTAAAAATAACAAAACCAATCAAAAATCTGTTATGAAATCAGGAAATTGATGATAAAAATTTGTTTCAAACGAGTATGATCATTTAATAAGTCAGTAGAAGCTAGACTATCATCGAAAACCTCGAAGCAATGGACGGCCGTTTCGTCTTATTGTGGGACTCCTCAGCAGTGCGCATCCACGATCCCGCACTCGCGAGATTCGAACCCAGAACCTACCGGTCTCTAGCCAAAGCCCTTGACCGATAAACCACTGAGACGGCATCCGACGGTGTTAATGTCTAACTTCAACCAATCCACGATTTCGAGCGACCGTTCACCAATTGTCTTCAGTGAGTTGATATCTCTACAACAGACTTGGTAGAACTCCACTGGCCACTGCTTCCCACTAGAACTCAATGAAATATCTCTTAAAGTCAGTCACTAGTGAGCATATGATTATAGATCAGAGGGGGTTTTGTGGAGAATTTAGTATTTTCACAGTTGAAATCACGAGTCCAGTGCTTCCAAGTTTTCGATGGTGGTCTAGCTTCAACTGACTCATGATTTCAACTGTGAAAATACTAAATTCTCCACAAAACTCCCTCTGATTTAATTTTTAGACAAATATCTGTTTTAGAGAGGAATAATAGAGAGTTTTGGATTAATCCCTCAGTGAACAAACATTAATGGTAGTCATGATAACAATTAAGAAAAGTAGTTCAGTTCCACATTTTGACTTAATTTTTCCGACGGTTTTTTGTAAAAGCTTGATAATATAGCAGCATATTTTTGGAATGATCTATTATTCATAATTGTACGTAGAAAAACAAACAAAAGTAATACAGTATAACTACATTACTTACTAAATAACCTGCCGAATACTATATACAATCAAATAATAGTGTACAGTTTACCTATTATTATGAAAATAATGATAATTCATGTAGAAACCCCTATAATTGCTAAAAATTAGCTATCAACCTAAAATGTTTTTGATTTAAGTTATTAAAATATCGTTGTCAAGACTACAGTCTAATGATGGGAGAGGAGAAATTCATGTAAATTTTCATAATGGAGTGTCTATTTTGGTTCCTTTCAACTCTCAACAAATTGTGAATTGATTTTCCAATTTTAAAATAGATTCAATAATAATTGATTCAGTAAAAAGTGTCAACACTCAATAAGTTGAATTTCGATTCAACTTTGCCACCTTTCTTATGACATTTTAGGAGCGTTTTCGATTTATTCTAAATGCTCGGTCACCAGTTTTGATTTTATACCATGCTATTTCAGGTATAGTTTCGATCAAAGACAATAATTCATTATTTTCATAATTGAAAGCATGAGTCAATTGAAGCTAGACCACCGAGGAAAACCTGGAAGCACTGGACGGTCGTCTCGTCCTATTGTGGGACTCCTTAACAGTGCGCATCCACGACATCGCCTCGCAAGATTTGAATCCAGGACCTACCAGTCTTGCGTCAGAGCACTTAACCGATAGACCACTGAGCCGGACTGGTTGAAGTAGGACATTAACACCATCGGATGCCGGCTTAGTGGTCTGTTGGTTAAGTGCTTTGGCGCGAGATTGGTAGGTCCTGGGCTCAAATCTTGCAAGGCGAGATCGTGGATGCGCACTGCCGAGGAGTCCCACAATAGGACGAGACGGTCGTCCAGTACTTACAGGTTTTCCTTTGTGGTCTGGCTTCAATTGACTCATGCTTTCAACTATGAAAATACTGAAATTTCCACAAAACCCCTTCTGATAATAATTCATTAAAATATTAGTTTAAAGCTTAAGGACAATAGTTCTATAGATATAGCTTATGGAAGTATATTATAGTGCTTTTTGTATAATTGTACTTTTAATAAATTATTCAAGTTTCTTCAGTTGTAGGAAATTGATAAAAGTAGTATTTATCGTTCACTGTATATTAGTTTTCTACGATTACTTCACAGCGATAATTATTCATCATAATATATACCACTTTAATGACTATGGGTTCAACTATCGATAGTCAAGAAAGTTACGTAGCTAAGTAGTGATCGACTGAATTTATCATGCTCATTAGATTGCACTTGATAAATGATTACTAAAATTGTCAGTGATAAAAAATATTAATGTACTGTAGACGATGTTATATAGACTAGCCAATGTAATGTCTTCATTGTCTTCATACCTGATTTATATTTTGACCAGAAAAGCAGCCTCTTAATTAAATATAATTGTGAATCGTGTAGCTAATCATTAATTCATTATGATCAGCTTTGATATCTGTTTAATTATTAAATATAGCAGTCAGTGATAAATTAGTACAGTTTTAAGGTTAGTATCGGCTAGCGAATTTCAATGAAGTTAAAAGTGACAATTTTCTTACCTTTGGTATACGACATGCTAATTCAGAATAGTTTAGAGAATTAAGTAATGCCACAAAACTAGCCAATATATACGCTAAAAATACTGCAGGCCCTGTTCGTCTATTCATTACAGCACCGGTAAGTACGTATATACTTCCACCAAGCATGGATCCTGGAAAACAAAACAAGTAATAATTTCCGTTGTAGGTGTGTAAGACATATAAATTTAGTCAAATCAGAATTTGTCGTAAATCTCCCAAGTAAAATATGTAGCTTGGGCCATGACGATGCTTAGTATTCGATTATATAAGTTAATATAGACTTCTCATTCATTAAGCGACAGCTGTTATGGTGAAAACTTTTTTTTTTTGACAATACAAATGTACAAACTTCAAGCATGCAACGTTTGCTAGCGTAACTGTGAAGGTATAGGTTGGTGATTTAGGCACTTGACTTACAACCAAAAGGTCACAGGTTTGAATACCATTCTATCTATTTTGGTTTAGGCAGCCGGATAATATTACTAGCTCTAACGTAGAAACTTGTACTTGGTAAACGATTTATCCTAAATAAATTACATTAAATTAGCATCCTAACTCATACAGTTGTACAGGTTTTTATATACAACATCAGACAGACTTTCACGAGACAAATTTACGTAGGTCGCATCTTAGTTTGTGTATCTGAAGGAGAATAGGAGTGGATAAATTTGATCATTTGTCATAAATTTATGCAAGTAATACTTGTTGACGTTAAATTTGATGCTAGTTTACTTCGAACGTACGATCTACTGGTTCTACATTTCACGCCATCTTGTAATGAAAGATTTTTTCAATTAAAACGCCTCTAGATTTAGATAGAAGATTTGTGGATTAAAGTTGTCGAGGAAATGTTAAAGATTAAGAGAGGAGACGAAGCAGTTATTGTTACGGATACAGGTTTACAATTTTTGTAGATGTTCAAGTTTCAGCTCCGTACAGTAGAACTAATTGTCTTAACGTTCGTATTGAAAATTGTGACTTTTATTTTGGTTGAGAGACAGTTGTTTTGAGTTCCATATGTTCTTCAATTGTAGAGATGCTGTCCTTGCTTTGCGAATCCTTGAACTTAGGTGTGCATGGGATCCTTCATGTACATTGATGATGCTGCTGACCAGGTAAGTAAATGAAAGTTTTCATCTGTTCTAGAGTTTCTTCATCAAGTGTGATTGGGCTGGTGTTCTCCATGTTGTATTTGAGGATAGTGTTTTTCCCTTGTGTATGTTGAGGCCTACTAATGCAGAGGCTACTGCTATATTATTTATCTTCATCTGTATTTGTTCGTGTGTATGGGATAGGAGAGCTAGGTCATATGCGATGTCCAAGTAGTCTAGTTGATTGTGAGCTGTCCATTGTATTCCGTGCCTCCTGTTAGATGTTGAGGTCTTCACAATCCAATCGACCACCAGAAGAAAGAGGAAGGGTGAGACTAAGCAGCATTGTTTGACTTTGTTCCTTACTAGGAATGCATCTGTAAGCTGTCCTCCATGATCGACTTTTCAGTGTAGTCCACCGTATGAGTTCTGGATAATGTTGACAATCTTCTCAGGAACTCCATAGCGTGAAAGAACTATCCATAATGTAAGATCGATCTGTTTTGTTAAGTAAGTACAAATAACCAATCACTGTTCATCACATCCCACTATATATAATAATGACATTAACTGTTTCTCGATTATACATGTTTGTATGGTCTACTGTACGAATCAATGGATTATCTCGAGTACTTATCTGCTTCTATATATATCATAGCATCAAACTCTTCATCAGTATGTTGTTTTTCATCTGTCATCTCAATCAGTGGTTATGTAATTTTATAAACGTCACAAATCGATTCATCCAGTAGAAAAAAAGTAGATCAAACAGAAATAATTATGACTTTGAGAAGAGTTAACAAAAGCAAAACATACAAAGAACATTGTTTGTTTGTTTCTTTGCCTTACTCATTTATGAATAATAATTTATTACATAATGGTATACGTGATAATTGAATCTATTAATTTTGTATTTTTCAATATATTATTGAAATCAATAAGTATTAAATCAATGGAGTTTATTATACCGAACGAATATTATACAACAACAACAACAACCGAAAATTGGATATGCGGGTTGACTGGTAAACCATAAAAATATGAATGAGCTTTTTTAACAGTGAATTAATATGACAACAAAGTATATTGTACGACCTAAATTCTATCTAAAATTATTCTTGTCGTGTGAAATAAAAATGATTATTTGAGACAGCTTTTCAATTGTTGAAAAATTTACCGATATTGCTAACTAGTATGTTAGCTATTTATTAATAACCGGGAAGCAGTCAGTAAGTCAGTCACAACGTTGAACTTCGTACGTACGTACATCAGTTCGAGTTGCCATACCACATTAGCACAGAGATGCAGTTGTTGATTCAAATCCCATAGTGGTGGAAGGAGTAAGAGTACAAGCATTAATGTGAAAGATTAGGGTTTGAAGATGTTATTCAAGGAGTGTAATCCAGTGAAATAAATTTGGAAGAGAAAAAAGATAGAGACATGAAGAATTCAGAAGATTAGAATTTGGTGGGACACAAAGAGTGGATGCACCTTCGGCATTGCAAACGATTTTGAGACATGTCATTCAAGGTCTCTAACCATCGATTGCTATCATCTCGCGAATCTCAACCAGGTAGTCTACACCTATCAATATGGCTCAGTCCAATTGTCAGTAACCGGGAAGCACTGGACAGCCATTTCGCCCTATTATGGTATTCCTCGACAGTCTATATTAATGAACCCAGGACCTTTGGCCTCTTGGAGAACCTTCAACTTCTAGTTCAATCCGCAGCATTGAGCAGCGATTTTCACAGGCTGGTAGAAAGTCCCTCAAATATGGCAACTAGAGCATGTTATTGAAATGAAAGTTATACCGAAATCTCACCACAGCCAAAAGTTTTTCTAACTTATTTTGCCTATTAAATGTTGTATGAAGTTATAAAATCTGTGAGGTCACTAAAAATACAGTGCTCTCGAAAACCCGAAACACTAAGTCCGCTCTGCTAGCAACTTCAACTTAGAATTGTCATGTGTAAACTTGTCAACATTTATTGATTGAATTCGAAGTTAATTTTTCCTATTTCTAGTTTAAATGAAATGCTTTTAATGAATTTGAAATAACAAAAGAAACACATTGTATCAGTAAACTGAGACAGTTAAGCGAAGAAAATATCCTCCACAGTGATATTATTTATCAAATGTGGTACTGTGGTGCGGTCTACTTATATCCATATAAGTAGTATATGACTATGGCAGAAGACCGATTAGGAAAGAACTGAAATGAAGCGCAACTGGTAGGAACATGCATGAACAATGGAATTAGAAAAGATGAACTGATATTTACAGAAGAAATAGTGAAGATTAAGACAAATGGTTGTTATTTTGCAAATTAACTGTTTGTTGTATGGTTATCAGAATTTAATGAGATAATCTGTAATTTTTATTTAAATACATTCGATTGTCCCGACCCGTGTTTTGTTCATTACAGTACGATTGTATTTGAAGTAGTTTTTCGCATAGTCTATTATGAAATAGAAAACTAATGAAATCTTTAATAGAAGTATTACAAGTTAATATAAATAATCTTCAAGTTATCTATCAGTCAAAAGTTTCATAAAAATGAAAATAAAATATAGAGCAGAGATGTGAAATATTGTCATTCACTTGATGAATGTGAAGAAGATAAAGATGACGAACACGTGTCAAAAGTAAATGACGAAATAAGAGGAGAGATGGAAAAAACCGTGGTAATATAGCGAATTGGAAAAACTGCTACTGAATAAAAAGATCAGGCTTAAAATGATGAACTGGTAAATCCTTTGATACGCATAAGTTTCTTATCCAGCTTCCGTAAAAACTAGCTTTTATGACTTTATCAATAGCTTTAAAATAAAGATTTTATTGGAGACAGATGATCAGAATTTACCAGATAATCGGCATTGGAACTATTGTTTGGTTCGCCTTCGTCTCTAGATCACCATGTTGGTTAGTAGTTGAACATGAATTTGAAAATAACACGCTTTGTGTGGTCAATATATAATGCTTCATAAGATTAAGTAAACTGTTAGATACATATTAAAGTGGCCCAAAGGAGCGATTCTTCTCTAAAATATCCTCAAGTCAAGTGTCTGGCGGAGAATATAATTCATGGTTCAACAGGATAAAAAATTTTGGTAGTCAGTTTCCTAAAATCTCTTCAACGTTATCCGCTTTGAATTCAATATCTATGAATAAAATGTTCTTAGATACCGTAGAGATTATTTCATTCAGGTACTTTGGTTTCAGGATTATGTCAATCAGTATGGGATAAGATTCATTCGCTATAATCATTTTTTGGATTTTGTTCTTCGTCAACTGCGTCCACTGTGCAAATTCTTCTAGGTTTTGGGGATAAGAAACGTATTAGATTTTCTTTCCTACTTAGTAAACAATCATTTATGAATGTTTGTATATTGCCTATCATAACATACTTACAGGCTAAGTATGAATCATTACCCTCTCATACAAATATATCATTTTTTATTGTATAGTCATTTGTATATCTACTTATATGTATTTATAGATAATAATTAATAAAAAAAAGTATCAGAACTGTCAACCAACTTTTACATGTTGAGTACTTATCATTATTACAATAGAGTATTTAACTGAATAGTTTAGCAAATACTAATTTTGATCTCGATATTGATTTACTGATTGGTATCTTTTGTATTCGATCATATATATGTGTATCCTGAAAACTATTTTGCTTGAATAAAATAAAACTAATTCCAATACATTATGAACTCTATTACTTTTACTATGGTTATAGATATCTTATTGATTTTTTAAAGGAGATTAAAGGATCTTTAATCAAGTGATCATATATAGTAATAAAAAAAGAGAGTTGTCAATTTACTTGATTTGTTATATAATAATGATTATACATTTAAACAAAAATAAATTTCTCTTTCATATTAAAGAATATTATTATTTCTACGTTCTAGGATTTCTTTTTTTGTGTTTAACTAAGCAAACGATCTCATATATTATGTAACCGAATTCAGTTAATCAAAGATGGATAGTAGCTAGCAATGGAATCCAGGACGCGCGTTTCATTC